CTATATGACCATATTCTACAAGTAATATTTTTTATTTTACAAATATATAAATGTGCAATTATCAAACATACAGGTCAATATCACCTTGCTATTGGTAGCTGAACTGTCAATACCCCAAAACATATTCTTAGATATAAATAGGCTACCTAATTTTTTGTTATTTACACTTACTCAAGTACAACAACTTCCTTACTTGCAACAAATAAGCATCAATTAGAGGGTTATTGAGGAAAAACTCTCAACTAATGGCTTATTACTTGTAGAATATGGTCATGTATAATAAGGCATTAATAAGTGTTTTATAATGACTAATAAAGAGCCAATATACTGCTAGTATGCATGCTAATTAACAACTAGTTGATGGTTAATTTGTGTACCTTAATATAAAGTGTTACCAAACATTAATTTCAGCCTTTAATCTAATAACGGGATGTGATTGTGGACAGAAGAACATCGCAGGATTCATTTTTTTTCCAGAGTGGAGGAAAGAGGGAGCGCAGTGGAGATGATAGGGAGAGTTTATTACAAATAAATAACAGCTACAAATGAGCCTCTCTCATTTGGGTCATGATAAAGAGGCTCTTAATTTGCCTAGTGGCAGATGAGAGGAGGGGAGTGGGGGGGGGGTGAGGGATGCAGGGAAGGATGGATGAGAGAGACACACAAATGTAATTGCGAATGATGTTTCATTCCACATATGGGTCCGTTCGGTTGCAGCGAAACGCACCTATAGGCCCGGCTGTAATTGTCCATTCTTTATAATATGGGGGGAAATATAAGGCGCTATTACTGCACAATAGGCTGATGGATGGCTTATTCTGCAAGCCAGCTGGATTTTGAGACTAGCCATACAAATGCGCATGTACGCAGATAATAAAAACGGATGTGCAATTTGGCTTATGCACATTCTGGCGTAAGTATTAGCACATAGATATTGTCTGCACATGTGAGTTCATAAACTACATATGTGGATATAAATTACAATTCAACAAAAACAAGATGGTCGCAACATGCACTTTATTTACGCACACACACACTTATTATAGAAGAACTAAAGTAGCTTCTTCTATTTTTTACAACATTTTATTTTATTTGGTTTTCCAATTTCCTTCCTTTCTCATGTTCTCTTTGCCTGTGCCTGTCTTTCTGTTTCACTCTCATCTGTCGTGAATTTGGCTGGACACACCGAAAAACACAACAGATGAGGCCATAGATCCCAACTAGACACGGACAGACACAACCTTGGAGGAAATAAATGGAGGGAGGAGAAACTGAAGAAAAACATAAAGAGGTTATCTCCATCATTAGCCTTTAATAATGTTTTTTGTTTTGTTTTATAAGCTCTCCAACCACAGACGATGAATATCATACTGATAATAAATGCACAGTGCCAAACTTGCAGTTTTATATCCAGCTATGTGGAAACGCAACACGATTGACAGCGAATATGATCAACACAACCTGAAAAGTATCCCGTTCACCACTTTCTCTGAGTCATCCTTCCCTTCAAAAATATAGAGAGTGGGAAAACGTTTTCTGTCTCAGGCTAAGATTACAGAGAATAAATGACACTTCAAATCGCACTGGCCATGACTCAATCTAAACATACATCGAAAATATTGATGACGATCTTTCCACTTTACAAAAGAAGACCTAGATGAAACTTACGAAAATAAGATTACCTTTATTCTCAGTTTAATGGAAGTAACGTTAAAGAAAACGTTTTTGGGAATCCTTTAACGTTAAATCTGAGGCTACAGTTAGCTTAGCTTAAGTAAGCATAAAGGCTGAAAACAAGGGAAACAGCTAGACTGGCTCTTTTCAAGGTTTATACAATATGCATACCAGCACCTGAAAGCTCACATTTATGTGTATTTGGTATAAAAGTGGAAAGGCAAACACTACACGTTTCATTGGGGTCTAATTATTGGGGTCTCCAACGTTGCCTGGCATACTAATATCCTTTTTTAATAAAGACAGTAAAGCGAGGCTAGCTGTTTCCATCAGTCAAGTGTAGTCTTTATGCTAAGCTAACTTGTTATGCTTGTTTTCAGGTTAATATTTGTATTTTGTGACTCTACTGTGACATGTCTCCATGCTTTAATGTTCAAAAAGCTCTTTATTTCTCTCACACTGCCTGTGCTGCAGCACCTCTTTTCACCCTCTGTCTGAAACCAGAGCCCAGTCTGCTCTGATTGGTAAGCTGGCCAGTTCTGTTGTGATTGGTCAACTGTTTAGAGATGTGTTGAAAATATCCCCCCACATTAGCATATCATGAACATCGTGTTGGAGGGCTAGCCAATAGAAGCGCGAGAGTTTTGTTATTATGTTACGTAAGTAAACAAAGGAATCTAAATTGAGGCGCTTAAGGAAGGGAGGGAAACACCGTCTGTAGGGAACTTTGGGAATTTAGCCTTTTCAGAACATTTACATGCACAAAATGCTAGGAAAGGGAAATCCCCAAAAAGCATAATAGGGCCTCTTTATTAAAGAAAATATACATGGCGCTATAATAGCTAACCGGCTAACTCTTGCCAAGTAAGATAATGGGTACCTGACATACAACATGTTCTTTCTAACTGCAGAATTGTACATGATCTATGGTACTTTGCTCAAAAAACCTGCACATGCATTCAATCATAAACACTTACATACAGTGGCGAGCCGTCAGGGCCCCCTAGGCCCTCTCTGAGGGCCTAAGATATTCTACAAAATAATATCAAAAAACATTAAAAATATTTTTATTTTTTAATCTTTTTAAAATATTTTTTTAGAAGGTATATTTACATTTTTCATTAGTTTTACCAAAATAACTTGATTTAATTGACCAATCATATCTTCCCTCTAAATGGGTGGGTTTTATTATAGCGGACTTTTTGACAAGTTCCGCCCGCTGTGAGGCTTTTTTTGTTTCCATAGCAACAACAACTTCCTGCCAACAGCGTAAGATGGTAAGATATCTGGACTAAGGGGTTGCTTTTTCTTTGCACAGCATGAAAGGAAAGGCGAAAAAGTGAATGGGGCTGTGATTTTTGTTTTTTTAAGCAGAGGGGTCAATAATTTGTACGGCCCTGAAAGGATGTTGAAAAAATTGACAATGCCCTGAGAGGGAAAAACGGTTTCCCACCCTGATGTAAAACGGTCTGCAAGAGTCACAACCCTCAAAGGACACCCTGTGTAGCGAGTGAACAATCTCTAACACCAGAAAGAAGGACCCGGTCTATGCTGCCACGGAGCCTCGTTGGAGATTTCTCTTTCCATTGGTTTTCTTCCTGGGTGCGCCCATACCCAAATGGACCCATTGGTTCGGGACCAATCCGTGGAGCTCCTCACACACACACACTCTCTCCCAGTGGCGAAACTGTGACGCACTGGGGTGGTGTAGTGGAAGGGCCTTGCAGCGGCGAAACACTGTTGCGCGGTTACACTGTAGGTGCGCCACGTTTTGGGTGCGTACTAGTCTGAGCCCTCGGCAGATGCGGGGTGCTACAGCCCCCCCAGGACCCCCCCCCTTTCTGCGTCCATTCGCGGATGTCTCGCTGTCTCGCTAGGACCCCACACAGCAAGCAGGAAATGAACCCAGCTCACACTGTCCGGCTCCTCACGCACTTCTCATCTGAGTTGTCCTTACTGGTGTCAGTCTTTTGGTTGCTAACAAACGCCATTGTAACACATAATCACGTGATGTTCCGGCTGTACGGTGTACTCATCAGAACAGAGTGGCCGCCGAGTTGACCAGATCAGAGCACAGTGGGCTCACATGGAGGGGGGGGGGGGGGGGAAGGGGCAGGAGCTTCAAACAAGCCGTTCTAGCGACAGAGAGGAGGCGTACACAGAGGATGCTGCTATGAGAAACCAATGTGAGTTTTGGAAAATCGCACAATTGTAATATCGGTAGTTCTAGTAGACCTCAACAATGGGAATTCATGATCAGTGTGAGAAATGGCCATTCCCATTCCCTTGTTTGCAAGACTTCAAGGTCACGGTGTTCGCTCTCAGCCACATAAGACAGATCTGCGGGTCTCTTTCCCCGCTGTCGGTCTCTTTGACCGGCTAACAAATCGATGATTCTGTCAGGCCTATCACTGCATCTCTCACTGTTGACAGAGCTGGTCTGTCAGAGCGGCGGTGTGTGTGCGTGTGCGTGTGTGTGTGTGCTGTGTGTGTGTGTGTGTGGTGGTGTGTGTGTGTGTGTGGTGTGTGTGTGTGT